AGGAAGTCGGATAAAGGTTATCCTCATAATTTAGAGTTTGACTCTTTTTCATTCATTATTATCTGATAATGTTTAATCACAGTTCGTAACTTAATTTCATGTTTAATGAATGAGCTTTACATATTAAATGGCGATGATCAATGTATTGAAAGTTAATGAATGGAAAAAAATAATAAATTAGATTTTAACCTTTTAATTTGAAGTGTCTAAATTTAATTTTATTATGTAAAAATTAATGTATCATATTTTAATTCAAGTCCTATTTAAATTTATTTTAATATAGAACTGAATATTTCGTTTACTCAAAATTTTCATTAGAGTAAAAGAAAAATGTCACGTGATGAAAGGGTTAGGTTACGTGCAAGAGATGTGCCCATTCGTCTAATTATTTTGTCATTTTATGTAAAAAATTGAATGTCAAAGTTTTTTTTTAAAAAAAATAAAAATTAGTATTTATTTTTAAATGACATTTTATATGAAATACTTTAAAAAGACAATAATAATAAAACCATTGGGATAGGAGTATATAATGTATGATATGGTTAATGAAGTTTGTTGTCGGGATGTCTTTTTTCTGTTCAAATGTCACTGTTTATTAAAACTAGTATCATATTTAAAAATTTGAAATAAAAAATTCCAAATAAATAAAAAATCAATTTTCAATAATTAGGTTCTCATTAAATTTATGTTTGATACGCTTGTAGTATGTAATTGTGAACCACAATATGCCACCAATTTAGAAATGTAGAAATTGCATTTATTTATTTATTATTAAATAATAATATATAAATTTTATTTATATTAATAATTATTTTTTATAGTATAAAATGGTTACACTATAATATTTGTTTAGAATTTTTTTAGCTTATCGAAAACACTCTTACATTATGCACATGTACTCTTGAACTCGAGTCCTCTAGAAAATGATACTGTATTTTTTGACAGAAGCCCGCCAAAGTTCGTCAAATCCTTAGCCCCGTCGCTATATTTTTTCCTGATTCCGGCCGTTCGAGGCGTTGGTTTACCTCACTACCTGCACCACCAGCATCCCCGTTGTAATCCGCTCAAAACCCAATCGGTGGGTCGAGTCGTCGCTGTCATTTTCCTTGCCACCGGCATGGGTAAGAGTTTCGTCCTTTTTTATATTGGGTGTTAGCTGAAATTGGGTGTTGTTATGACTTGATATTGAGGTTTTAATGATCGTGGAGCAATCGACCGATCACCTCGAGCCTGTCGCCGCTTCCATGCGTCGCCGTTTGCTCGTGGGGCTCTTCCTCTGCCTTGATCCTTCTAGAACGGTCCAAGTGGATCGAACCAGTTCAGTCAACTCGCTCAGTCAACTCGGGCAGAGTCAACTTGTTGACTTTGATTGACCGTTGACATGAACGTTGAATTTGACCAGAGTTTACCGTTGACTTTGACCCAAAAAGTTAAAATTTCTGAAAAGTCATATTTTATGTTTTTCGACGTCCTGCGTCTGAATCCGAAGTCGGTTTTGCCAAATTCAATCATGGTAAGCTATGTTTAAGCATTTTACCTCCCGATTAAATACGAATTTTCACGTTTAAGTTACGTTTCTAATGTAATTGGTTTTGCCTTGTATCCGAGACATTATGGGACGTGGAATTAAAGTTTGAGGGTGATCAAATGGAGTTAAATTGGCTAACCGATGTGGCTTGAAAATTGGCGTAATACATTACTACCTTATGTATGCTTTATGGAACATGTTGCCATTGGTTATTGCATGGATGAATATATTTGGTTACATGTGTGCATAATATATCTCTAAACTCAATACAAATACAATGAAAAGTATTTAAACTGAATAAGACTCATAAATAATTTCAAGTTCAGTGATTAACCGATAAAACAATCAACCTTAGAATCTTTAAATTCTAATTATTTTTGTTAAAAGTTTTAATACTGGAATCATCTGGTTAAGAAATTACGAAATTACCTTATGAGGTAAAAATGGTCCAAACTGACCTTGATAGTGAAAGTACCTTGAGAATTCGTATTTAACCCGACAAACTACTCATTCACCTGTTAAATACCTGATATGTTCGAAAAGTCGTTGAAAATCAAATCTTCACATTCGAGAAAGTACAAGACCTAGAATTATTAATTTATCAGCAACTAGGAGTATTATTTATGTTTGAATTGTTTAGAAAATTTAATTAAATGGAAAATCTGAATTGAAAGAAATGACCAAAATACCCCTGAAGTGTAAAATGTCCTAAAGTACCTCCAAGCCATGGAATGATTAAATACCCTCAAGCTCTGAAAATGAATAAATCAACCTCGAATACCAAAATGACCTATAATTTTTTATTTCCTTAATGAAATCCCTGAGGCTAAATTACTGAAAGTACTTTACACGTTTGAATTACTCAAAATGACTATGTTATATGACAAAAATGAACTGAATGGAAGTATTGTACGCATCTGAATCATTGAAACTACCGAATTACTCATGAAACTTTGAAATGACCGAGATAAACTTGAATACTAAATGACCTAAGTGCCCTCTATGACCTATAATTAAGTGGATGACTATATTATATGACAAATATGAACTGAATGGAAGTATTGTACGTATCTGAATCGTTGAAACGACCGAATTACTTAGGAAACTCTGAAATGACCGGGATAAACTTGAATACTAAATGACCTAAGTTCCCTCTATGACCTAGAATTAAGTGGATGACTTGGATAAGTCTAGAAATGCCGATGAACTTATATGTTGTACCATCCATAAGGGTTACGTACCCCGAATCAAGCACATCGACATTTCTTGATACCACTGCAAAACAAAAATGAAATAAATACCATTGGACTACCTGTTAGTCTCCCTAGGATGTATTCTACGATGATTCTAAAGGTGACTAGTTTAACTAGAGCAATCAGTATTAATAAGTGAATAATGGTAAAGTACATCGGTCTGAATGATTGGCAAGTATCGTAGTGTTGGGATTGAATGGTTTAATTGGACTCAAAATCCTGATAATTCAATTTAAATCCTAAATAATATAAATTGTTGTTTCACTCTCATTGGGTTAAATTACTAAGAATTCTTCAATAAACCATAATGTCTAAAATGCCTCTCTGATTTCCTGAATAATGAAATCACTCCTGTCATATCTAAAATCTCAAGTAACTCTGATGTAAAAGATTCTAATACCTTCCTGATTACTTAGTGCCTCCAAAAAATATCTGAATGATATATGATCCTGATAAATCACTTCCCGAATGACTGATGAATTCGTTAGCTATCAAACCCTTTTTTATAGGGATCTTATTTCTGAAATCCTATCAATTTACAAAAGTTTCATGGTTCCCTACCTGATAAATATGAAGTATCTCTGGAGAATAATTGGATCATCTGGCATGTTCCCTATGTGCTATATGATTATTTCATCTATCCTGAAATGTGATTTACTGAAGTTACTATTTTACTGAATCTTTTAACTGTTCGATATTCTGATTTACTGATGTATTGGTTTGTTGTTTATGAACTACAACTACCTGATATATGCTCTCTGGTTACTTATTTTCACTGGAAAATATAATCATTCTTGATTTATGGATCATGAAATCTACTGGTTACTACTTGAACTATTTTATTGGGACACTATCTGGGTAGGCTGGAGTATGGAGGTTCAGCTCTAATCAAACCAGTAATTCCTTACGGATCTGTATAGTTGAACTGTATATGGGTGTCCAGTTGGAGGGTATTACAGTGGTTTTAAAATATGTTTTAAACTACTAATGTTTTTAAAGGATTTGTACACATTTCTCCATTTTGTTGGAACACACTAGACTCCCCAATTTAATCTTCTGAATATGTCTCTCCGAGTACTTCTTTCATACCGTAAATTCTTGTTTTGTAACTGAAGACTAATGGAATCCAAAAAGCATCGACAGAATATGATGATGTATGTCCCACTAAAGAAAGCTATGTTTTACCATATAACGAGAACCTATTGCATTCATCTGGTAGTTCTGTTGATTACCATTTCAGGTTAAAGAGTTTGACCATGTGCTCTAACCGACATCAGTAGAGAAGTTCCACCAGTGTAGCTTGCGGAGTACGGTGCATGTGATTAGGGGACATGTAGGTTGTATTCTATTTTTTATATGAGTTTGAAACTTGTTTTATTACTGGATATTGTTGAATTCTACTTTTAATATATAAATGATGCTATGAACTTGTGCTTTATCTATAAATCAATTTACAGTTTTAAATGGATAAATGAAAATTTTAAATTTTCAAAGATTTTCAATTTGGGGCGCTTCGGTGGCACTAATGTGAGACATCAGATCGAATCAGGTCACCCGTATCGGTCTGAGGGTGTTACAATAAAGGCATATAAACATGTCACAAAGACATAATTATTCTTATTTAAAAACCAAAAAAACCAAAAAAATAAAAAGAAAAAAGATAACCGCCGAGCGGCAACCTGTATCAAAATTGGTGTCACCTCCGGTTAAATAAAATTAAAGAAGAAAAAAGTTAGATTAATCAATAAAATTTTCACAAGTCGTACAGAAGAAAAAAAGAAGAGAAAAGAAGAAAAAAATGGCTAGATTTTTCCAAGAAAATTAATGATTTAAAATAATACTTATTTTTATCACAAAGATCCCTCAACGTAACAATAAGGTATGTTGTTAAGTTAGACTAAGTTTGAAAATAAATACTCACAAGTTCTAAATATAGATAATAAATTAAAAAAGAAACCTTAAATTATAAATACGGTTAAAGTTCCTTTTTACTTTAAAGGTGAAATATATGTTTTTGTTAGATATTTGATGTACTTAATATTCATATAAATATTAAAAAAAATCCAAAAAAAAATAATCAGATTTATTGGATAATAGACGCCTCAACCTTACCCAATTCGATCAATGAAACAACAAACAAAAAGAAAACTTTAAGAAGGCCGATAGCAGAAATCAATAGCTTTTCTTCTTCTTCTTCTTCTTCCTTTCTCGGCCCCTTTTCCTGTTATAAATAAAGCTGAAGCCAAAAGATCAATTAATTTGTTCTCTAAACTTCAAATTCAATTCACCAATATATATAATCCATAGTTATTCCATAAAAAAGGATCGAACATCAACAGCTAGGAAGCAAGCAATATAATGTTGGAAAAAACAGTTACTGTTTCTGCACTTCCATCCTCCTCCGATCTTCTCAGTCTATCTCCTTTCGAAAACGGTGTCGTCCCAAAAAGGAAAAGAAAGCCACCCGGAACACCAGGTATGCATATTACTAAACTAAACCTATAGCACATATGTATGCACGTGTGTTAATAAATTATAAGTAATACCTTTTTTTTTGTTTGATTTTTGTTTATATTAGATCCAGAAGCAGAAGTGGTTTCATTATCACCAAGAACACTGCTGGAATCCGACAGGTATGTGTGTGAGATCTGCAACCAAGGGTTCCAACGAGACCAGAACCTTCAAATGCATCGGAGAAGGCACAAGGTACCGTGGAAGTTGTTGAAAAGGCCAGATAATCAAGACACGGCGGTGAAAAAGAAGGTTTTCGTTTGCCCCGAGCCGAGCTGTCTGCACCACCACCCTTGCCACGCCCTCGGAGATCTGGTCGGCATAAAGAAACATTTCAGAAGGAAGCACAGCGATAACAAGCAGTGGGTTTGCGCTAAGTGCTGCAAAGGCTACGCCGTTCAGTCCGATTACAAGGCTCATCTCAAGACTTGTGGCACCAAAGGCCATTCTTGTGACTGTGGCCGTGTTTTTTCCAGGTTAGTTCAACATCACACCCTAACCCTCCACCCAAAAAAAAAGGCTTCTCAATCAAACCCTAAAAATACGCATAAAAGTTTTCCTGATAAAGAAGTTCTAAACCCCATATTCTTGTGTTTTTCCCCTTTTTTACAAAAGTTTTATACTGTTTAATTATTCTTTCTATGATTGTTTGCTGGTTAGTGCTTAAACATAAATTATTAAAAATATCCAAGGAATTCTCGCATCTGATACATTTCAAAACGACCTCAATGTTTCAATTTGCGAACACACAAATACCCCCGACCCCAGTTCATTTCTTTTGTTTAATTTAGTATTAAACACCATGAAATCATTCTTTTTGTTCTTTTTCGTTTCAGGGTGGAGACGTTCATCGAACACCAAGATATTTGCACTGTTAGACGAGTTCAACCTCAATTTCAGGCTCGAACAGCTTCAACCGCCACTCCGTCACTCCATGCAAGCTTTAGCTTATCGCCGATTCCGATACCGGAATCAACTCGTTCTCTTGAACTTCAGCTTCTACCGTCGTCGAGCTCTCGCTCACAGTGGAACCTAGATGAGAATTGCTCGACTCATTTAAAGCTATTCATTGGATCAAACTCGAATGAAGTGAACAAGTGGAACGATGGGGAAGCAGTAATATCGGAAGAAGCCAGCAGGTTAAAGGAGTTTGCGAGCGAGCAGCTGAAGCTAGCCATGGCGGAGAATGCCTACGCCGAGAAGGGTAGAAAAGAAGCAAAACGGGAGATCGAGATGGCCGAGATTGAATTCGCCACTGCTAAGAGGATAAAGCAACAAGCTCGAACTGAACTGGAGAGTGCTCAAATGTTGAAAGATCAATCGACAAAGAAGATGAAATCCACGATCATGCAAGTCACTTGTCAAGCATGTAAGAGTAAATTCTTAACATCGATGGCAATGGTTCCGGCTGATGAAACATCGCTGGCTATGAGTTACATGTCGTCGGCCACAACAGAAGAGGAAGGAGAGTGATTATATATAAAGCTGAAAATGGTGGGTGTTTAGCACTTGAATCTCCTCGTTTTCTTTATCTGCATGTTGAGTTTTTTTCTTTGATTTGGGGTTCCTGTAAACTGTCCATGAATTGATTTTAACTGGGGAAAAGAAGTAGATGATGCAATTTAATGGAATGCAGTGAAATGATTCTGAGATGACAAACAATGATCACGCGTTGGGATTCTCTCAATCTTTCTGCGAAGCGGTACCATGAATTTTTTCAGCGTCTTTAATTTTTTTTAGCTTCGTAATTAGTGGTTTTGGTATCTAAAAGCTACATTGAATTCTGAATAATTGAGTTTAAGCTCGAAACTAATTTTATTATGTAGAATTATGGGACTGAGCAATAGTTGTACTTCATCATCAAATTCATATGGGATTGAACAATAGCTTAACTTCATCTTCAAATTTATACTTTTAAATTTATGATTCTTACTCCTAGCAACATCATTTTTAAAACTTGTTCTCAATATCATTAACACCAAATATATCTAACAATGGATTATCTTTAACATAGAAACAAGACATCCATAATGTGAGATTTATCTCCACGGACGAGAAATAAACAATCAATTATAAATATAGAGACAACGATGAAAACAAATACATGATATTCTTTGTATCTCATAATCTCAAAACTCAATATATCTCAAAAGGCTCTCCAAACTTCCGTACAAAATATATTTACAACTAAAATCCCAAAAGTTAAAACCCACTCCATATTTATAGAATCATATACTTGGACTCACAAGAAATCTAATTCTTTTAACTCTTTTGACCTAAAATAAATATTTACTTATTAAATAAAATCAATTGCAAAATAATATTTAATCATTAAAATGAAATTTGTCTTAAAAGTTAAAATTTGAGTTAGTATCTAACATTTGGGGGGAATATATTATAGAGAGTGTTGTTCTCTCTATAGATTCCTGATCCGAGTAGTTGTGTCTACAATATGAAAATGTGTATGTTGTAAATAAATTAAAAAAAAAGTTTAAACACATACAACTAACTACATGTAATTATCTCAACTATTTAAAAGAATATATTGTTATTTTTCAAAAATAAGTTTTACGTTTCAGATTATATTAAATAAATATTGATTTTAAGTTAAAAAATGCTTGTTCAGGCAGCAAATAATTAGGTTGAAAAGGAGTAGGTCATCTGAATGAAATAGGCATAGATGGATTATTTGATTGAAGAGTGATTTTGAGTTTGGAATTTGCATTTATTGGGACCATTGGGGGTTTTAGCTACAAAACAGGAAGGAACCATTGAATGGAGAATGGAGGGTGACATAAAAATTCAATGTTAGGGGAAGGCAGGAAAAGGAATGTCGTTTTCATGGCATTAGCATCCTTTTTAAATGCCTTTATAAATCAACACACCATGTTTTTCAGTGCCACAGTTGAAATGGTTATGTGCAGGCAACAGTCCTTCTCTCTCTCTCTCTCACTTTATCAGAATCAGAAGGTTTCTGATTCAGAAGTTAAACCACAAGGTTTCAAACATTTGAGATTTTTATAACTTCATTCATTTTTTTGTCATCTTTTAATTTAAACTATTGATAATAAAAAAGGACAGGGATGGAGCCATGTAGGCCATTGGGTTACTGCCCCCTTCAATTTTTTTACCGTTAAAAAAGTATGAGGATAATTATCTATTTAGATCTTTAAATTTTAATTTATTTTTATTTTATTCTCTATTTTTATTATTAATTATATTTTATCTTCTTGAATTAAAATCCCGACTCCGTCCCTAAAAAATATCTTGAAAATTTTAGAGTTGATCAGGAGAAAAATAAATAGGGTGGAGAAATCATTTTTTAAACATAAAATGAGTTACAATAAAAAAGTTATTGAATTACGAGTTTAATGATAAATAAATTATTTTTAGAAATTACTAATATATTATTTAATTAAAATATTACTACAAACATGCTAATATTTGTTTTATAAGGGTTTGTCTTGGTATAATAATAATTTCAATCCTCAATATATACAATCTATTAATTTAGTTTTAATTCAAACTAATTTAATAAATTTAATCATTCTTTTACTCTCCGAATTTGAGGTTGGAAGTTTGTGAAGCAAATTGTAAATGGTTAAGTAAATTTAGATGTTGGTGGACAAAATCTAAGGAAATGCATATAATTAAGGGCTTAATAGAAAGGAATTATACTTTGAACGGAACCTAAAATATTAAGTGAAATATGCTTAAGTTGCTATTCTGATTTCAATCGTGTTCGACCACTATTGATATAGGAAGAACTATCAGTTTATATTCTGGGTACCCATATACGCCTAATTAGATGCGTGTCAAAAAATCATTTATTGGAATATTAACCCAAATAACATTAACTGGAAAAATATATCTTAAACTATCACTACAACAAAACAAATTTTTAGAGGTGTTTTTAAGCACCTTTAAAAACACTACCGACGCTAGTAAGAGCGTCGCAAGAAGCACCGCTAAAACGAACGCCGCAAAAGTTAGCGGCATTTGTGAACCTAAAATGCGTAAAAAAAATATATCTTAAACTATCACTACACAAAACAAATTTTTAGAGGTGTTTTTAAGCACCTTTAAAAAACACTACCGACGCTAGTAAGAGCGTCGCAAGAAGCACCGCTAAACGACGCCGCAAAAGTTAGCGGCATTTGTGACCTAAAATGCGTAAAAGTTAGTGGCGTTTGTGAACCTAAAACGTCGCAAAAGGTCAAGTTATATAGCGACGTTGTTCTTTCAAACGCCGCTATATAACTCGACCTTTTGCGGCATTTTTATTTACAAACACCGCTATTTATCTTGTCTTTAGTGGCATTTTTTGTCACAAATGCCGCTAATTCTCTTATCTTTAGTGGCATTTTACCACAAACGCCGCTATTCGCTTGTCTTTAGTGGCTTTTTGCCGCAAACGCCGCTATGCTATTGGTTTTAGTGGAGTTGTAATACAAAACACCGCTACTTTACAAAAGGTTGGCATAGGCAAGTTGATTGGGTTGCTCTTCGTAGAACTCGAAATTGTTCATCATCGATTTTCAATTTTTTTGTTCCTACTTTGTATTACCCTAATTTAACTTGTAATAATATCTAATACCAACCTAAAAATAAAATTACGCTTCCAATTAAACAAAAATACATAAAATATGAATAATTCAAAGTTACAAACATCCAAAAAAATGTAATGTAGTTCAATATTGTTCACTAGATAAACAAAAATTGACCTAAGAAATCACCTAGGTTGGCATACGAGGAAATGTACAGAGATTAGACACCAAGGAAGGACAAAACGACATCTTCAAGCTTGCAAAATCCAGAGAAAATAGGAAAAAGGATCTAGGTAGCATTAGGTTTATTAAGGACAACAATGGTGTTCTTTAGTTAAAGATCATGATATTAAGAGGGTTTGGGGTAGTTACTTCTTTGGCTTATTTAATAATGGTGCCTCTCCCTGTAGAGATAATATCATTGATGGGTCAGCCGACCATCATACTACGGCCAATGACTGCCCTACAAGTAGGATGAGTTTCAGGAAGTCAAAATGGCTCTTAGAAAGATGGGGGAGGGACAAGTTGTCGGTCCAGATCAAATTCCTATCACTGTGTGGTTGACCCTAGGAGAAGAGGGAGTTAAGTGGTTGACCAACATCTTTAATATTATTTAGAGACTGCCAAGATGCCAGAGGAGTGGAGAGAGTCTACGGTGATACAATCTATAAGAATAAAGGAGATCCCCAACGTTGTGGCAACTACAGAGGTATTAAACTACTCAGCCATACCATGAAGCTATGGGAAAGGGTAATAGAGGCTAGTTGAGACAGGTTACTAGGGTTCAGAAAACCAATTTGGCTTTATGCCAGGCAGGTCTACTACGGAGTCGATTCATCTACTTCGACGACTTATGGAGAAATATAGGGAAAAAATAGTGATCTTCACATGGTGTTCATTGACCTTGAGAAGGCGTATGATAGCGTTCCCCGCGATACGATCTGGAAGACCTTGGAAACGAGACGGATCTCAACTGCTTATATCCGGGTGATTCGTGATATGTACTGTAGATCTACTACTACCGTCAGGACTACAGTTGGCTACACCAAGGCATTCCCGGTGGAAATCGGACTCCACCAGGGGTCGGCTCTTAGCCCTTACATCTTCGCCTTGATTATGGATGACATCTATTGTGCGACACCAGACGGTGTTCCATGGTGTATGTTTTTCGCTGACGACATTGTCCTAATTGCTGAAACAAAACTGAGTGAATAGTAGACTGCTACCTGGAAGACTGCTTTGGAAGAAAAAGGTCTAAGGATCAATATTGAAAAGACAAATTATGTATGTTCAAACTTCAGCAGAAACCAAAACGATGAAGATGTAGAAGTATGTATAGAAGGACACATTATCCCCTCAAATGATTATTTCAAGTACTTAGGTTCTATGATACATAAAGATGGGGGTGTAGATGAAGACGTTACACAAGTATAAAGGCGGGATGGCTAAAGTGGAGGGCTGCTACTGAAGTTTTGTGTGACAAGAAGGTGCCTCTAAAAACTAAAGGAAAATTTATAGAATGGCAATAAGACCAGCGCTGCTGTATGGATCAGAATGTTGGGCAATCAAGGATCACGTAAGGAGGATGGGAGGCCGCAGAAATGAGAATGCTTCGATGGACATGTGGTAGGACTCTGTGGGACAGGACACATAACTCTGCTATTAGGATGTACTTGGGGGTGGTGCCTGTATCCGAAAAATTGAGGGAGGGAAGACTATGGTGGTTTGGGCATGTCCTTAGGCGACAACCGACGGATGCGGTCAGGAGGGTAGAGTCGATTACAGTCGACGGTGTCAGAAGGAGAGGACGACCAAGACGTAAGTGGGAAGACTGCTTGAGATTGATTTGAAGGAATTAGCCCTTACCGAGGACATGACCTCTGATAGGAAAGTATGGAGACTTAAGACCAGAGTAGTTGAGTAGTGCGGTTCACAGCCATAGGGTGTAACATCTCTATCTTCTTTTTAATGTCTTTATAGTACATTCCATGACTCCTACTTTATACATGATTATGTCATTGAAATGTATGAAGGCTTAGAACTAGGATATCGGAGTAGTGTTGCCTTAGTTTAAGAATTAACTCATTTGAATTTATTCCTCCTCGTAGCTTGCTATTATTGACTTCTGTGTATCATTTCTATTCATGTTTCCTCTTT